TATATATATATATAGAATATTAGTTCTCTCCCAGCCACTTGAGGCGCGACGATCGTTCTCCGTTTCCATTGCTCATCACGGAGCTTGCGCTTCTCTTTGGTATATGTTCTGTGATTACGGGACATTGTATAATCGTATAGGAAATATGAAATGTTTCGAGATGGTAAAATATCTCGAAAACTATAAGTTTTATTTAAAAAAATGTTTTAGATAAAAGTTGTAGAATTTAAAAAGACTTAGCCACTGGCTTCATCAATTTGACTTTGGCGTTGCCAAGGCAGGGCAAAGTCAACTCGAATTTTTTAAGCCGAGACTCCCCACTTTTCTTTTACTTTGTTATAGTCCTTGTTGAGACTTTTTCAAAACACTATAATTTTATGCATTTTAAGTCAATCATTTCGAAGTTATTGAGCATTTTATGATGAGATGTCAGTAACTATAGGCGAATCAAACACGAAAACTGTTAATTTTTTTGCTTTAAACTTATGTTTTATTTAGCAGGTCATAAGCTATAAAACATATGGGAAAACCATTTGATTTCACTGGAACCAATTTCATATAGGATTAATGCGGGGTCCTTTCAACAAATTTTCAGCATTTTTATTAAAATGTCAATTTCAACAAAATTTTTGCGAAATTTCAGCAAAATTTTTTCACCAGAGCAGATATGTGGACAAAGTGTACATTCTATGAATATCTTATAAAGCCTGTGGACATTCGTTTACTGTCTGGAAACGTACATCATGTTGTGAAGAAGCTTTGATATCTTACCTTGACGAGGAACTGTGACAAATATGTTCTTTTCTGAACTGTATCGATATGCATCAAAAGCCATTTCAATATCGGATGAATAATTTCGACTTCACCTCGAACTAAACCTTGTCTAAATTAAGGACAACATTAGGATAATTATACCGAAGAGGGGATCCCACCCCGATGACTTTGACTTTGACATATTGACCTTAATATATTGTCAAGGTCATGATCTTGAATGATCTCTAATAGGTTTCAGCCGTTGCTCGTTATTTCTTAAAAAAGTATTAATAATCAAAGTCGGTAGTTATTTGATAAATATAATATATGTAAAATAACAAGACTTGAAATAAATCATAAAAATAATAAAAACCAATGTAAGCAACAGAAGATGATAATGTGTAATAATTATATATATTAATGATAATAATGAATGTCAAACGTTTCAGCCCTAATTTAGGTCCTCTCAAAGTAATGCTAATAGCTTTTCATATAATTATTAAGCATTGCGATATAAAAAGTACAAATTGAAGCGCTTAATAAAACAACAGATTTGTCGTGCGTTTAAAGTCCATATACAAGTCCAAAAATAAAATCATCAACCATCAATAGTATTTGGTAGAATGCATATTTTGGTAGACAGATATTACAACGAAAATGTTAAATAAAACGATGAAATATCTAAGTTTAGTTAACAACTGCGTTATACAGAGTGTGTCAAAAGTCTGGAAACGGTAGAATATCCCAAAAGCAAAGCATTTTTGAAAAAAAAGTTTTAGACAAATGTTGTAGGGTTTAAAAAGATCTATTTTTTTATCACATCCTTTTAACTTTGGGTTGCTTCGTTGAGGTCACGTCCAGGTCACGTCGATTTTTTTAAATGAAACTCTATATTTCATTATATATTCTTGTAACTTACCTTGAGAGCTTTTCAAAGCACTATAATAAAATATTTTTTCTTTAAATGCTTTTTGTGTTATGAGGATTGAAAGTTACAGTATCGCCGGCATTACTCACGGTGTCCGACCGATGACTAAAAACCTCTTGAATGTTGTTCAGGATCTAGATAACATTTGTCAAGATCAAGGCCATTGGAGATTGTTTCTCTTATTTTTATTTTTCCACTAAAAATTCATTTTTACGTAAAAACGAAAATAAGAATAACCTCCAATGGCTTTAATCTTAATAAATATTATTAAGATTATGACCCTAAACAACATTCGAAAGATTTCAGCCATCGTTTTGGCACCTTGAGTAACGCCATAAAAAAAATATTTTATTATAGTGTTTTGAAAAGTTTTCGAAGTAAGATACAAGAATATGTAATGAAAGATGGGAGGTTCCATTTAAAAACCTCGACGTGACCTTAACTTGACCTTGGTGACGCCACCCAAGGTCAAGGGAGTGTAATCAGTGAATAGATCTTTTTAAACCCTATAACTTTTGTCTGAAATATTTTTTTCAAAAATGCTTTATTTTCGAGATATTCGACCGTTTTCAGATTTTTGACACTCTGCGCGCGCGCGCGTGTGTACAGGTTGTATATAGAATGTTCCGCAATTTTTGCCGAGCCCGTTTGTATAAATAGATATAGAGCCCGTTTGTATAAATTGAATCAAAATGTCCTCTACCATTTTGCAATTTTCGCAATTGTTAACGAGATATTAATTACTAAAAATTGCCCAGTATTGGTTTTCAATAATTTTTTACTCAAATGCTATCAATTTTACAGAAAAAGTGACAAAAATTGTTTATTATCTTTTCATAGAACTCTAAGAATTTTTTCAGAACTTTTCATTAACTTTCTAGTACTGCATTTTCTTATTGGCAACTATTTTTATCAACATGAGAAAATACGGTATTAAAAAATTCTGAAAAATTCTAAAAAAATTTTGAGAGCTTTATGAGAAGAAAATAAACAATTTTTGTTTTTTGCTGTTTTTCTATAAAGTTGATAGTATTTGACTAAAAAATTATTGAACATTTTTCGGCAATTTTTAGTAATTAATATCTCGTTAACCATTGCGAAAATTGCAAAATGGTATAGGACTTTTCGATTCAATTTAGTCCGCTCTATTTACACAAACGCGCTCGACAAAAAATTGCGAGACATCTTATATATGTTGTTGGAAATAGCGCGCTCTAGTGTCATTGCATGGTATTTCTAAGTTAGTCCTGAGAGACAGCCATCATTTTCTTTTTTTGCTCTCTCTCTATGTATGCATGGTTCATGTTTTACCGTTATTATTCTTTTGTTCATATTAAGCGCGCAGTGTCATGTTATTCACTTATTAAATATACAAGTGTATAAAGGTGTGTCATACGTTCTTGAGGACACAGCACACAACGTTGTCACTTCGTTTCATATATTAAACGGACTGTAAGCAAAAATCCACTGTTGTCAATAATATACCTCATCATATGTAAACAGGGTTCGGCACCTAAAACAAAACATCGGAATATCTTGAAAATTAAACACGGTAGAGAAAAATGTTTCAGATAAAAGTTGTATGATTCTAAGAGGGACAAATAATGATGAAATTATTTTTCAAAAAGGTCAATTTTTCAAGATTACATGGACGTCACCTCCAATTTTTTAAATGGAATGGTATGATTTTTTTACACAGATGGTTCTTCTAATTATTCTGCATATGAAAATATTAAGGTAATGATACCAAAAAACTAATAGTTTACAAGACATTTTATACTATATTCTGGCATATATTGACATAAAGTGTTAAATAACTCGTAAACTATTAATTTTTTGATAATCGTACCTTAATACTTTTATATACAGAATAATGAGATGAATCAATTGATGGAAAGAAAACACAGTTGCTTATTTAAAAAATTATCCTTTTTGCATACATATTTTTAAAGCAACTATGTTTTCTTTCCACTAGTTGATTCATCTCATTATTCTGTTCATAAAAGTATTAACATACGCCCGACGTCGGAATGAAACCACGAAATTTTATGATTTTGGTTTGATACTTTCGCTGATGAAGGCTAGAAGTTAGCCGAAACGTTCGACAAAGAGATTATTTATAGAAGACTTTTTTCGTTTAATCAAATTAAATGCGCAATCATTACAGCGCCGATTCCTAAAAGCCCTATTTGTAATTTGTCATTGTTTTAATAGAAGGAATCTTATTTTATTGTGAATTTATTAACATACGGTTATAAAAAAATTAATAGTTTACGAATTATTTAATATTTTATGTCAATATATGTCAGAAGAAATTATAAAATATCTCGTAAACTATTAAGGTTTTTTTATATCACTACTATACTCTTATATGCAAAATAATTAGAGGAACCATATTGTGTAAAAAAATCATACCTTCCATTTAAAAAAGTGGAGATGACCCCATGTAACCGTGAAAAATCGATTAAAAAAAAATGATTTCATCATTATTTATTCCCCTTCGAATCATACAACTTTTGTCTGAAACATTTTTCCCTACCGTGTTTGATTTTCGAGATATTCCGGTGTTTTGTTTTAGGTGCCCCACTCTCCCTAACGGAATTTGATATACAGATATTCGATACTCTTACGGAATGTACGATGATCATCTATAATATACTCAGAGTAATCGTGTAATATCTTTATAGTATATTATTTCTCATATGTCCTCAGGATATGCACAAAATATAATAGCTAATCTTTGTTACTTCTGCTAAATTATGTGTGCTTATACTTAATGTACTCAGAATATCTATATAATATTCTTGCTCTATATCCCGCGTACTCATTTAATGGATATTTTCAGAATATGTTCAGAATATAAGCCGGAGTAAGTATTCATGTATAGTCTATTTGTAAAATCGGTCTCTTTCAAGAACGTCTTAAGAACAGTCGCTGGGGATGCAAATGCGGTTCTATGATAAGTGCCGCCTTAAAATGCACCTGTGCAGTGCACAACTTGCACACCTGAGGTTTAGTTTTTGTTCTTATGACTCGTACACACAGCTGGACACGACAACGCTTGCCGCGCGATGGAAGTTGATACAATAGCCAACCATTCTTTCGCTTTTTGGGAACCATTAATGACTTCTGGACACGGAAATGTTTGCCGCCCAGCAAACGAAAATGGACTGAAATGGATTGGAAATTTTCAATCCATTCGAATTCGTATTTTAAATCCATAAAAAGGGATTGGATTCCGTATAAAAAAAAAACGTTTTTATACGTTCAAAAGTTTAAATAAATTAAAGTAGGATAAAAGTACTGATTAAGGGACCCCCCTTCAATGACCTCGACCTTGACATATGTTGTCAAGGTCATAACCCTGAGTGACTTCCAATAGGTTTTAGCCGTCGCTAGCCCTCCGTAGAAAAAGTTAATAATAATCAAAGTTTCAAAAATGGCGTCTTATTTCGATACAGTTTTATTCAATATTTAAAACATCTAATGGATACATCATACTCATAATTTCAAAAAAGGTATCAATTCTTTCGTCAAAATTATATATTCTTTTAAATAAGAATTCGGCAAGATAATATATATACGTATATTTTTGAAATATATACATATATGCATATATACATACATGTATATGCGCACAACTCTCACCTTCGATTCTCACCCCTCTCTTCTCCTGCTTCAAGGGCGCCCGACTCTCACCTTCGACTCTCATCCCCCTCTCCTCCTGCTTCAGGAGCGCCCGAATCTCACCTTCGACTCTCACCCCCCCCTCCCTCCTGCTTCAAGGGCGCACGACTCTCCCCTTCGACTCTCACCCCTGGAAAGTCGTGCGCCCCTGAAGCAGGGGAGAAGCGGGGCGAGAGTCGAAGGTGAGAGTCGTGCGCTCCTGAAGCAGGGGGGAGGGGGGTGAGAGACGAAGGTGAGAATCGTGCGCCCCTTTGCAGGGGCGAGGGGAGGGGGGAGGTGGAAAGTCATATTCCCTTAATCAGTTCACTCCATACCTCTCTTACTGCCCAGAATTATCTGACTTTTCATATAAAGCAGTGAAATAATTATTAACTTTAATCGTTAATAACTTTTTAACGAATAATGAGCGACGGCTAAAACCTGTTGGAGGTCACTCAGGGTCATGACCTTGACATCATATATCAAGGTCAAGGTCATTGGGGGGGAGGATCCCCTAATCGATATTTTTATCTAAA